ACCAGTTTAGACCAGGGAGATTTCCCACCAGCTACTGCTGCTCACCTACTGCCTTTGAAATTTGTACCCTGTTATCCCACCAGTTTAGACCAGGGAGATTTCCCACCAGTACTGCTGCTCACCTACTGCCTTTGAAATTTGTATCCTGCCTTCCCACCAGTTTAGACCAGGGAGATTTCCCACCAGCTACTGCTGCTCACCTACTGCCTTTGAAATTTGTACCCTGTTATCCCACCAGTTTAGACCAGGGAGATTTCCCACCAGCTACTGCTGCTCAACTACTGCTGTTGAAATTTGCATCCTGCCATCCCACCAGTTCAGACCAAACAGCCTTTCCACCAGCTACTGCTGCTCACCTACTGCCTCTGAAATTTGTATCCTGCCATCCCACAAGTTTGGACCAGGCAGATTCTCTTACCAGCTGCTGCTGCTCGTCTATTCCCTTTGTACCCTGCCATCCCACAAGTTTAGGCCTCACCAGCTACTGCTGCTCATCTGCCCCTTGTCCGAAATTTTCGGCAACAAAAATGGAACTTTGAGCCCCGAAAAAAAAACCCACGACACGCCACGACACACCACGACACTTTCAGAAAACTGGCCCGGATCACAGCTAGAGGGATGTGTCTTAGAGGAAAAGTAGTAGCGACACACCCACGACACACCACGAAAAGCGCGCGGCCCAGAAAACCCACGACACGCCACGACACACCACGACACAGTTTGTATTTTTCAGAATTTGTGTGATGTGTCGTGGTGTGTCGTGGTGTGTCGTGGGCTTTCTGGTCTTCATGGCCCTTTGCAGACAAGCCTGTGTGTCGCTGCTACTACCTTTCCTCTAAGAGACATCTCTCTAGCTACGATCCGGGCCAGTTTTGTGGCGTGTCGTGGGTTTTTTCGAGACTCAAAGTTCCATGTTTTTTGCCGAAACTTTCGGACAGGGTGCAGATGAGCAGAAGTAGCTGGTGAGAAATCTGCCTGGCCAAAACTTGTGGAATGGCAGGGTACAAAGGAGTAAATGAGCAGCAGCAGCTGGTAAGAGAATCTGCCTGGTCCAAACTTGTGGGATGACAGGATACAAATTTCAGAGGCAGTAGGTGGGCAGCAGTAGCTGGTGAGAAATATCCCTGGCCAAAACTCGTGGGATGGCAGGACACAAAGGCGGCAGGTGAGCAGCAGTAGCTGGTGGGAAATCTGTTTGGTGTATATAATCTGGTGGGATGGCAGGCTACGAATTTCAAAGGCAGTAGGTGAGCAGCAGTAGCTGGTGGGGAATCTCCCTGGTCTAAACTGAGCGCCGGGGCCAAGCTGCGCGTTGCGAAAATGGCGACCACGTCGCACGTGACGGTCTGCAAAAGCGATGTTCTCACCGAGCTCGACGCAGCACGGGCCTTTCTTGTGGAGACCTGCTTCGCGTGTGATGCTGAGCTCTTGGCTTCTGGTGAAGGAGTTGCGGCTGGACGCTTGGACTGGTGTATGTGCATGTCTCCTTTTCCTTGCCCGCTTGTTCCTCGCTCGCTCGCTGCGGCCAGTCGCCGCGTGTTTTCGTTCGCTCGTCGCGGCAGGCTGCTGCTCATTTTGTCTGCGGCAAGGCCGCGTGTGTTATACACGTTTTCGTTCCCTCGTTTGCGCAGGGCGCCGCTCGTTTTGTCTGCGGCGAGGCCGCGTGCTTCGCACGTTTTCGCTCCCTCGTTGCGGCAGGGTGCCGCGTCGTGTATTTTGTTTGCGGCGAGGGCGCGTGCTTCCGGAGTCGACTGCGCGCGGCGAGCTTGCTTCGTGGTGGACGCTGGCTTCCTCGCAGCTGCGGGTGGGCTGTGGGAGTCGAGTGACCGGGCGCTATGCTTGCAGTGAAAAATATGACTTCTTAATACATCATGCGGCGATGCCGCGTGCAATCGACAAAGGTACTTCTATATCAGATAAATGTAAATTAATATATTGAATAATCTCCAAATCCACTCAATTTTCGGAAAGAACTAGCCTTTTTTTGCACGCTCCTGGCTCTGAACACTTAAACACGCAGTTTGGCGTCAAAAAGTTACAACCAGATATCTCCAGTTAGCTAAAACAGTTAAAACAGTTAAAACAGTTAGTTTTTCGCTCGCATCCTTCTCAAAAAATAACTGTTTTAACTGTTTTAACTGTCCACATAACTGGTATAACTGCGTGAACTTCTATAGCTGCAAATGAACCCTCAAAGTATAGAGACACAGAGACACAGAGACACACAGACACACACAGAGACACACAGACACACACAGACACACAGACACACAGACACACAGACACACAGACACACAGACACACAGACACACAGACACACAGACACACAGACACACAGACACACAGACACACACATACACACATACACACATACACACACATACACACATACACACATACACACACACAGATCTGTAGCAATGAACTGAGGTCGCACTAAGATCACACATATGGATGTCAAGTCGCCTGAGCATTCAACCGCCTAATTGCGGCACAGAAAACGCCTAAGGCATCCCGGGTTTCGCAATGGGGTGTGCCGAGGGTCCCCCATACGGATTGTAACACACTTAAATGCCTCCAGAAGGAGAGGTGATCTCGCTTCCGAGTGAATATTAATGGAGTCAACGAGATCGAGTGGCGAATGCGGTGGCTTCCCTCTAGCTTCGAAAGCGCTACAAGGTCCAAGCACAGAAAACGGGAGAGCCAAGGGCCAAAAGGACTTTATACCACTGGCAGGTACATCAGGCGTCGCTGGTGATATCCGCAGGTCACTGCTGAGAGCTTTGTTGGATGGAGCTTTGCATCATGGAAGTGTAAGTGGTGGCATCAGGGTTGAACTGACGCTCCGCACACACACACACACACGTGCACACACACACACACACACACCGTGGATGCTCAAGCTTGTAATTGGCTTGAGGGAACGTTCAACCGTGAAAGCTGGAAACTAGATTGCCAAGCGTTTCTTCTTGGGCAGCTTTTCTGCAAGAAAATATCTCCTGGTCTGTTCACTTGCACTGGTTCTCACTGGGTCCCTGAGAATTTTGGAGGTTTTTGGCTTAGATTCGTGCCAGCCACAAAGCTTCAACATACCAAGGTACAAAAGGACTCGCCATTGTTGTTTGACTGCAAGGACTCCAGGTTAAACATCGTCGTGCGTGTTGCCACTGTTGGCTGCCGGGAAAAGTGCACAGCTCAACAGTATAAGTCTTGGATTGGCAACATCTTGTCACTGTACCTAGACTCTCCTTCTGACCCGAATCAAAAATGGGTCCATGACCCCATTTTGGGTAATGACCAACCATTTCTTAAGGGTCCTTAGGGAGACTCCAGGTATACACGGCACGTCCAAGGGGCATCGCCCTTTCTCACCAACCTTCAGCCCGGGCGATTTTTTTTTTCGTCGGCGCCGTGTTTTCCAGCTGAGTCCCAGGGCTTTCCGCTTTCCGGCGAAGACACGCGGCTTGAGAAGTTGCGCGTTTGTTTTTGTGTCTGGCATTTCTGGACGTTCACAGCCCAAAACAGACTTAGCGTAGCTTCGCATTTGCTGCGATATGGCGCATACTACACACACACCTGTATGTGTGTAGGCTTGCTGAAATTGCTATTATCTTCAACCAAGCTGACCCGAAAAGGACACCTGAGAGTTTAATCACTACAAGTGCGCGGAAGTGTGTGCGCGCAAAGCGCGCGAAGCAGACTCTTTGTTCGCTCATCTATTTCCTGAAATGAGTGGGAGTCCTCTGATTGGTGTGGGTTTCGGATTCATCCGAATATGGCTGTATGAGGATCGGATCGGTACCTTCCCAGGTTGGTTCCAGGAAAAAGTGGAGGGAACTTGGTGGTAAACCTCAGCGCGGTGATGACGCACTTGGGGATCTTAAAGCCCGAAGAATGGTGATATCTATTTTACCCTTCATTTTGCCGTGTTTCGGCTCATTGCGCCCATGTCAATTCAAAGTCAAAAAGGAGATCTTGCTTTTTGATTTGGTGCCCGTAGAATCTTTCCTTCATGTGGTTGTGCCAGTCAGACCGCATGCTGCCATTGATGGCCCCTGCCACAGTCATCCGGGTGCACGCGGTGCTTGGTTTCCTGTTTCGGGCCCCCTTTCACACTCACCGGTGCTTGAGGCTGACTCTCCATTTTGATTAGACTATTCAATAGGCTCTGAATCAGGAAACCCACGTTGGCTAGTTTTTTCGATCGAAACCACCGTGAATCCAACCTTGAAAGCATCTTCAAATGCATTTGCTAGCCCTCGCCCCAAGCCAACCCCAAACACACGCTGAACCCACCCCAAACCGGCCCAAACCGACCCGACTCAGACTCATTTTGAGACCGAGGTACAACCCCAAGCAGCTGGACGAGCGCTGGGCGGCTGAAAGCCTCATCTCCAAGGCGCCGGCCGGATCAATGAGGGCGACGCCGAGTCGGCGTCTCGCGGCGTTCGGTTCGTTGTTTGGTTGGCGGTGTTTATATGTGTTTGTTGTATTTGTGCTGGAGGGCTTGCGTTTTTTGGATTTACTCTAGGCGTTGATCGGTGTTGCTCAGCTGGTTTTGTGTGTATGATCTGGTTGTTGTTGGTTGGCTCCATTCCCTCTTTTCCGTCGGTTCTTCGACCCGAAAGACTGGCAATTTCCGACGTATTAGACAAGTGGTAGGTGGTTGGGAAAGCAGTTGAACAGCAAATAGTTTGCCTCTTGGGGGTGGGCCATCCCTTTGACTATGTTGTCAGTTTGTAAGCGGGGTTTCAAGCAGGGCCACTGGGCAACTGGGAGGTTGAGTTGATTGAACCATCCGAATTGGGTTGATTGACCCGGAAAAAACAAAATCAAATGGGATCCACATCTATCCCGCGTGTTCCGCGGCCCAGTTTAGGGCATATTGGCTTGCAACCGAAGGCGGAAACACGTTCTTCTGAATCTCAAGGTGGAACCCAGCCCCCCCTCCCCCTTCTTGGTGGCTCCCAGCTATCCAGTTCCTTAGCTTTTTAGCCTTTTTAAGTATGAAGTGATAGTTTCCATGTAACCCGCTGAAAGTTAAACTTTTAGCGGGGGATCTGAGGGCAGCCCAGTTTTGAAAGAGGATTATCTCGGGGGCGCACTGGAATCAGACATCAGAACACCCCTCGTCTCTTTGAAAGGCATCCCACGGCTTAGCGAGCTTTCCGGGCAAAGCCGCCGAATATGTAGAGAGGGGATTCAGATGCACGGTTGCCAGCATTGAATTTCACGCCTGCGCTTTGTTGAGTGGTACAGGATAAAGCCGTTCGAAGTCGTTGGGGGATGGATTGTAGTGCGCCTTCGCCCTTTTTGCCTCGGTTTATGTTGGATTTTCCCAACCCGCCAAATTCCAGCTGCCCAAATTCCGGCTGCCGAATTCCGGTGTGAGCAGATCTCTCCCATTCCCGGCATATGCGTTGAGGTGGAGCAACGCTGTGACGTGTTCATGGAGGACCAGGTGGGGGTTCAGTCGTCCCTGGCGCAAATGACTTTTTGCCCCACCTGACAGTTTTGGCGTTGCCCAGATCCGGATTGCTTTTGATCGGCATCGAGCGTTTTTGGTCTGGCGGAAGGGTTCAGGGGTTGGTGTTGGGCATAGAACCTGGGCTTGCGTTCCGGGTGTTTGGCTTGGTTGGTGTGGTTTTAGTTCGAATCATGTTTAGCAGGGGCTTGCAAAACATGTTTTTAATTAAAGCGGTGGGACGTTCAACCTGGCTCAAGTTGTCCCCTCCATGAATGGATTTGCAAAGGAGGGAGCTGTTTAACAATTATCAAGGGCACCGGTGATTGGTCCGCAGGGGTCGGTTCTGGCAATGTTTTCAACTTCAATCGTGTTGGTTTACACGGTTGGTGTGCTCAAGCTGCCCAGCTCACTAAAGCATGTCACCTGATCAAGATAGCATTGGGTGGTACTGGGGACCTGACAAAACCAATACCTCCCAAATTAGGGATGCACATGAAATCATGGGATTGCTCGCGCAAAAGTGAAGGCTTGGGTTACATTAGCTCCGCTGGGAGGCGCATCATGTGTTTCATGTAAGCAAGCAAACAACCAGACCTTGGCCCCGCAAAGGGGGTTTAAGCAAGGGGTGTTTGAGGACTGGGGCCTGGCTCCAGGGTCACCTGACTGATTGTTGTTGCTCCACGAGTGGATGATCCTCTTGTTGAGAACGTGATTCTTGCAACTGTTCCAAGTTCCTCAAATGCGAAGGAGCAAGGAAACGGGGTCTAGGGTTATGGGCTCTTTGCCCGTCAGTTTTAGCCGTGGCTCGCATTGCTTTGAGGCACAGCCATCTTGGATAAACTAGAGCGGCCTACCTACCTACCAGCGTTCGCGACCATGATGACAGGTGTTTTTGTTCTTAGCCACCCACGAGTTTTGGCTGATGAAGTATAGCTCACTCAGATCCTTTATAATTCACTTAACATATTCTGAGGGTCAAACTCTTATAGAAGTGCACCTGCACCCCTTTTGCAAGACCACACTTGACCGGTTGCGCCAAGTTCCTGAAGCCGAAGATCCAACCCACCACATGTCCACATGTACCACTGAAAAAGCAGAAGCACCTACCACGAGTGTGTCGTTTGAGTTTAGGTACCAACTTTTAAGGCTTCGGAAGCCAAGACACAATCACCGAGAAAAAGCGGCGCCATTTTCTGGGTGGCTTTTGGCGCCCTTCCAAAAACAGAAGAACACGAGCCCGGAGTCTCCCTAAGGACCCTTAAAAAATGCTTGGTCATTACCCAAAATCATGGTTGGTGGACCCAGTTTTGATTCGGGTCAGAAGGAGAGTCTAGCAGGAGCCGCCCCTTTAAAACGAGCGGCTCCACCACCGGTGCGCGGCGCCCCGAAAAAATCGGCGCCTCGCCGAGTCCCGCGCCGCGCGCCGCGCGCCGCGCGCTTCTCAGGTCGAAAGGGTGACGCAGGCCTTCGAGGAGCGCGGCGGCTCGGGGAGAAAAAGACACACGGGACGCACGTGCGTTGTTGCTTGTGGTTGTTTTGCTTTTGAATGGAAACCCAAAAGGAATAATTTTGTTCGCACTGTTTTTTTTGTTTGTTGTTTTTGAATGGAAGCCAACAAGGAAGAGTTCATCCCCACGTCATGAAGCTCGCAAAAACACAGCATGTGTTTCGTTTTTCTTTTGATGGAAATCAAATGGAATAGTTAATCCCCACGGACAACAACATGTAACTGTGTTTTCCGAATGGAAGCAAAAAGGAAGAATTCATTTACATGAAGCCCACAAGGAAGCAGCAGCAGTGTGTTTTTCCAAGAGGACACTTTACAAGGCAGTATTGTTCCGACCCGGATCCTCTTGCGCGCCATTCAGTCAATCTGGTTTGGGTTGCTTTTTGGAGGCTTCGGATTTGTTTCCAGACAGGCCGTTTTTATTTTGGCAAACCACCCTGACCACCCCCCTTAGAATGGAATTGGGGGCGGGGTGACCCCTGCAATTGGTTTCACTTTCGCAGCGGGAAGGACTCGGGAAATGGAACCAGAGGACCTGAAGTTGCTCCACCCCGGCAGAAGGGATGGCCCCATTCGCCTCAGAGACCCGCACCTTGGAGCCGTTTTTGGTCGCTCGGGCTCCCGAGGTCCCTTGAGAAGTCCATGCTGGAGCAGCATTTGCAGGTGCGGCACAGTGTTTGTGTTTCGTTTGCGGGTACCCTTTGTCGGATTGAAAGGAGACCGAAATGAAAGCCATTTTGGGGGTCCACCTATTTTGACACACCAAATTTGAGGTCTATGTTATCACTTTGGGAGTTTCCAAAGGCAAGGCATGTGCTGCTAAAAATATATGCTTTCCCTTGTAAGACATGGCAACATCAATCCCAACGCAGCGTCTACAGTAAGTTTGGATACCCCCATATGTTGGTGTGTGACATGTGGCGCTTTTGAGAGAGCCCAAAGGACTATTGTTTTCGGGGTCCGAATGACACATGCCCAGACGAGAAGAATCCTCACAGCATGCGCAGTAGCCAGGCGAACTTTCACGGACTTCTCGGGCAAAGTCCAAGGCAATGCTCCCTTTTTCCACCCCAAGAGACCAAGCGCCTTGAGTCGAGGATGGGATTTGCATATTGGATTTGCATCTGACCAAAGGTGAAGGCGGAATGAGTTCTTGTTGTTGCTTACCCACCTTTTTTGGGGGTTGTTAGACTTGACGCCCACCCAAACTCTTTCGACTGACAGCTTTGACACACATCTGTGACAGCTGCTGTGACAGTCCGAAGCCTGAGGCTCCCGGTCGCCGGAACAGGACTGTGAAAAAAAGGCTCTTGACCGAACCAGGACAACAACCTCCGAGCCGTGCCGCAGTTTCTTCATTCGGCACCAGTCAAACTTGTTCAGGCGGGTTCCCTTCGCTTAGGTCCCCAAACTTCTGGACAGAAAAGGCCAGTCACAATCCAACGGTCCGAGCAAACGGGGCCCTCACCAAGAAAACAAGTCCAGACACCAAATATCCTCTTTAGAGCAGGTCCACCAGCCAAAGATCCCAAATCCGTCCACCCCAAGTTCCGCCTTCCCTTGCCCTCGTCCTTCTTGGGGCGGCTTTTCCCGATCTTCAAAATGAAATTGAATGGGGAACCACCTCAAAAGTGATTGGTGGACCTGAATCCCCACCGATTTCGGATGTCCACCAAAGGGTCCCCTATTATAAAAACAAAAACATAGCCAAGTCAGAGCAGAGATCAAGGGCCACCCCGAGTTGGTTTCGCAGGTTCTTTCCCCAAAGCCCCACCCATCGCAGGGAGCGGAAGACGCATCCTTGACGGAGCCGCTGCCTGAGGGAGCCGCAACCTTAGCACGAGAACCGAGACGCGAGAGGCGAGGGAATCCAAGGTCTCCAACTTCCCCTTCTGGAGGGTTGGCTTGCAAAGAAAACGGAAAGGAAATCTGATGCCATCTATGCGATCACCCCTTTTGATACATAGCCAGACTTATTCCTAGGTTTTACGTATGTTCCAACTGTTCAAGGGAAATCAATTTTAGACGAACATGTGAATAGCATTCTTGTAATACCAAGGGAATGGGAATAGCTTCGGGCAAGCGGAGCTCTATTAATGGTTTGGAGAGCCGCCATGTTTGGACTCCAAACCCCAGTTTGACATGGATTTCAGGATGTGTTGGGTCGCCTCTTTTTGTGTTTCCAGATGAATCCGCTTGAAAGCGGCAAAGTAGTCATAGGGAATCCCACTTTGGCAATGCAGATTCCGGCAGGCGGGGAACCAATCCTTTTATGTTTGGCTATCCTGCGCAACACCCGCCCGGCGAACCAGTCCAACCCCTGCAAGGTGCAAGAAAAGCTGACTGTTCTTTGCGACCCCCACTAACCACAAATTAGAGGAATCCGGCTTTGGACAAAACCAAGTCATCAAACATGCCAAAACACCTGGTTCCTTGGCGATGTCTCCCCAACGTCCAATGATCTTGGTGTTCAAGGGTTGGGTAAGGCTTTTGAGATGCTGTATTTCAAGTTTCTGGCCATGTTCTTTGGCGATGTCCGCCCCAATGTCCAGTGATCTTGGTCTTCAAGTCTTGGGTAAGGCAGGGTTCCTTTTGCGCTCTGAGATGATATATTTTGCATATATATATATATACATATATATATATATATATACACGTGTATGTATATACATTTGTACGCACCCATGAATGAAACCACGAGTATGTATCTCTGGTTTGTTGGAAAATTATTGCCTCATTTCCACATCCCCGCGCGGCGGAAAGAGGAACCTGAGAAACCATCAAGCGGGGCCCAGTCCGTCTTTTGGCCTTACGCCAGATGTCCTATGGAAGTGAGGCCCCAACTATTGCAAATGAATCAAACCCAGGCGATGCGCAGTTCATTATAGTTGTTGCTTCCATTATTCCCTCTTGCCAGGGGGGTGGGAGCACGTTCGAAACTCATCAGCAAATCGATCAATGAAGAGTGCCACAGATTGTTCCTAAACCTACACGGAACGCACACCATGCCTCCATTTTTGGTATCGGGGTTTCATTTTGGTGAACTCCCTGGTTGGGTTCCAAGTCAATGTGCAAGATGGTCCCCGGGCCCCTCAATCTTCTTTGGTGTGTTCGTCCAAAATACGGACTCTCAGTGACCTTGGTGGGTGCAGCTACCATAGAGGACGCCTCGGGTTGGAAGGTTCGGCACCCGCGGTGAGTTCCTGGAGATGCTTTTAGTGTTCGGATCATGGCCAATCCGCTCAGGATTGGGATGTGAATAATCCAGGTTCTTGTGAATGGGTGTGTCTTTTTCCCGGAAGCATTGCGAAGGGTTCTTCTTCTAAAAGCGGCTGCAAACTTCACCTGCCAACTTCTCATGTCAACTTTTCGAGAGTTATTTCACCTGCCAACTTCTCTTGCCAACTTTTCGAGAGTTATTTCATCTGCCAACTTCTCATGCCAACTTTTCGAGAGTTACTTCACCTGCCAACTTCTCATGCCAACTTTTCGAGAGTTACTTCACCTGCCAACTTCTCATGCCAGCTTTTCGAGAGTTACTTCACCAGCCAACTTCTCATGTCAACTTTTCGGGTGTTATCTCATTATCCTAAAAACACAAGCTAACTTTTCTTCTCTACCTTCATATCGACTTTTCGGGTGTTACTTCACTATCCTAAAAACACAAGCTAACTTTTCTGTTCTACCTTCACTTCTCGACTCTTAATTCTTCTTCTTTTTATGGCGGGGGTAGGCCCGACGGGAGCTTACGAAACGCACCCCTCTGCGGAGATCGTGCGTGTCGAAGCGCTCTCGCTGTGGCGCCGTGCGAATTTGTCTTGAGCGCGGCGAACCCTCTGCGGAGATCGTGCGTGTCGAAGCGCTCTCGCTGTGGCGCCGTGCGAATTTGTCTTGAGCCGATGAACCCTCTGCGGAGATCGTGCGTGTCGAAGCGCTCTCGCTGTGGCGCCGTGCGAATTTGTCTTGAGCGCGGCGAACCCTCTGCGGAGATCGTGCGTGTCGAAGCGCTCTCGCTGTGGCGCCGTGCGAATTTGTCCTGAGCCCGATGAACCCTCTGCGGGGATCGTGCGTGTCGAAGCGCTCTCGCTGTGGCGCCGTGCGATCTGTCTTGGTCGCGGCGAACCCTCTGCGGAGATCGTGCGTGTCGAAGCGCTCTCGCTGTGGCGCCGTGCGAATTTGTCTTGACCTTGGCGAACCCTCTGCGGAGATCCTGCGTGTCGAAGCGCTCTCGCTGTGGCGCCGTGCGAATTTGTCTTGAGCCCGAACCCTCTGCGGGGATCGATCGCTCTCGCTGTGGCGCCGTGCGCATCTGTCTTGAGCCCGATGAACCCTCTGCGGAGATCGTGCGTGTCGAAGCGCTCTCGCTGTGGCGCCGTGCGATTTTCTTGCTCGCGAAACGGCCTTTGGAAGTTGTCTCGTGGTTTGCGCGCCTGCTTTCGCAATCCCGCGGTCCGGGTTCGATTCCCCCCTGGTCCGCGGCAGCTCCGGCTTGAAAATCGCAGCTTTTAAGTACAAACGTAGTACGCGGAGCGTGCTCCTGCAGCTCCGGCTGGAAAATCGCAACTTTTAAGTACAGACGTAGTATGCGGAGCGTGCTCCCGCAGCTCCGGCTGGAAAATCGCAACTTTTAAGTACAAACGTAGTACGCGGAGCACACTCCCGCAGCTCCGGCTGGAAAATCACAACTTTTAAGTACAAAAAATAGTACGCGAAGTACATTCCCACAGCTCCGGCAGCACTTGCTCAGAGCAACTTGCGCAGAGCAACTTGCGCAGAGCAACTTGCACAGAGCACTTGCACAAAGCACTTGCGGAGAGCAACTTGCACAGACCAACTTGCGCAGAGCAACTTTGCTCAGAGCACTTGCGCAGAGCAACTTGCATAGAGCGCTTGCGTGCAGCAGCTTGCAGAGAGGAACTTGCGCGCAGCAGCCTGGAACGATGCAGCTTGCGCAGACCACTTTCGTGAGAAATCGCGCGGCGCAGTTCGTGCAAAGCACATTGCGCCGAGCAGACTCGCGCAGAGCCAACTTGCACAGAGCCAGTTGCGCAGAGCCACTCGCGAAAAGTAGCTTGCGTAGACCCAACTTTCACAGAGCCAAGCTGCGCAGAGCCATCTTGCGCAGAGCTAAGTTGCGCGAGCGTGCTTTGCAGAAACTGTGGCCGTCGTGTAAGCTTTGCTATTGATTGCTTTTCCTTTTGCTTGTAATTCGTTTCGAGCTTTACGAGCTTTACTCTTCTTGTTTTAACGGATGTAAATATGTGGGATCGAGCACTGCCATGTTTCCTCTCGTAGGACGATGAGATGGAGCTCTCATGTGACCATACACATTGAGCATCGCCGCGCGCGGACACGCTCGCCGCAGCGATGTAAAAAGGTGTCTCCGCGGCTGGATGAGCACCTGGGGAAAAATGCTTTCGGGCCAATCGTCCTCTAGTTGTTGAGTTTTTTTTTAGAAGTAATCCATTTTGTTGGGGTCCAACCTTAAAAAGAAAAACCGTGGGCCAACCCCCTCGCTCCCAGCCAACAGCAGGCCTGGCAAACTTGGGACCTGGAGGAGGAGTCGGAGGAGGGCGGGCGGGAAAGAGTGGCGGCTGACCCAACTGGCGGACGGGCGGACGAACGTCAGACGCCCGGCGAAGAAATATATATATATATATATATGGTGACCGCATGTTGGTCGTTTTTTTTTGTTCAGGTTTTTGTTTGCTTTGTGCTCTCATATGATCCATCACGAAACGGAGGGCCAGTTGATTTTACCTCTACAAGTTGGAAACGGCCACGGCCATTTGTAACTGGCTGGTGTCCCACATCCAATGAACGCCCAGGGAGGGGTAGGGTGCAGGCGATTTTGGCGGGGAACTGGATTCACAGAAAGAGTTGCATGAATAATAATTAGTATCAGGTTTCACCTGAGTGTTCCCAAACACGTGCACCAAAGCTGTGTGGTCAAACCAAATTTCCAGTACACCTGGAGTCTCCATGACCCTTATAAAATGCGGGCATTACCAAAATAATGGAGTCATGGACCCATTTTTCAAGGGTCATCGAGAGTCTAGGCCGAGTCTAGGCAAAGCCAGTTTTCAATCTCGGCATGTTTGGCCTCAGGTCCGGTGGAGGGTAAATCCATAGCAAAAGCCACACACAGGCCTTGGGTTGGCTGGAAACCCTGACCGATCGCCCACAGCGATGAGTTCGCTGGAAAACCAAACAGAGTCGGTAGTATAGGATATTGGAAAAACGCAAAAAAGGATCAGAACTTGTGGAAAAGAACTTGCAAACATGTTCTACCAGAAAAATCGACATAGGACTCACCAAAAACCAGACACATTGGCATAGGGTATTAGGGTAGTTGCAAAGATCAGAGACGTGTTTGGTGCAAACATGTCTTCAATACCCTTCTCCCCTGGCTTCTGTTGTTTTTATGGTGCCAGGAAGACTTTCCGGGCATGGATGAGCCGGGGCCCGAGCTGAAGCGTTGCCAGCAAAACAGGAGGAACCTCCATAGGGTCCTTATACCAAACGACTGCTATTGGGTTGGATCTTTAGACTTTAACTTTTTGGTTGAAATCAAGTGGTTGTTCTTTACAAAATCCCCAAAAAGTTAAAAACTTTTTGCAGCGGGTCTACAGCAACCAAGTCACCAAACGGATTGCGCGGTTGTGTGTGTGTGTTGTCTGTGTGTTGCGTGTGTGCACCCCAAAACTTGGTACTGCTCGTTTTGATTTCCCTTCAATCCAACCTTTAGCATGTACCCTCCATAAACACAGCCCCATATGCCTCTACAGTTGACGGTTTCTTGGGCCTCATGTCAATGTTCAATTTAGTGTGTTAAAACAAAGGCCCCATTTGTGGGGGTGAGTTTCAAGCGCTCTGCCGCCAATATCATCAAGACTGCAAGAACTTCTTCACAGCCTACTCCTGCGTGGACTTACCAACAAGAGTCCGCAGTCCAAACTTGTTGTTTCCAACTAAGTGGCATTACCAAAAGTTTAAAGTGCAGGAACTCAAAGTGTGAGTGAATCAATGTGAAGCATGATAGGTGACCCCTCAAAATTGGCCACGGGCATCTTGACTCGGGCTGACGCTGTGTTCTTTCACTTGAAATGCTGGATGTTCCTTCATATTCGGGAGACCTATTTCCGGACATCCTTACATTGGTAAATCCGTGCCAGCTCTCCAAACGACTCTTCCACTGGAGACGGGTGAGGCACACATGTTTTCGGAGGCCTTTGCTTGGGGGATCCTTGTCTTGACTTTGAGCAGCAACATCCCAGACCTGTAAACATGTCCGGCAACGTTTGGCGCAAGAGTCGCGAACTGTGCGCAAGTCCATAGTCCATAGCCCTTGCTCCCAGTTTGCGCAGGTAGGACGTACTATGCCTGTACTTGAAAGGTTGCGATTGTTCAGTTGGAGTTAGTGCTTCCTGTAATTACTATGGTTTTATCGCACAATTGCAATGTTCCAGCTACTGCTGCCAATGTGCATTTCACCTGTAATTGCAGAATAGCTCTGATTGGCACTACCCACAGTGTCCTTGAGAGCTTCTCCAGATACCTACTCGTTCAAGGGCATTTTGTCAAATCCTGCCTAACACAGAAGGTATTTCCCCTGCAAAGCCTGGGTTTTCAAAAAATACGACAAACAACAGAAGCTAATAGGACTAGGGGGTTGCTTTGTTGGCCGTGGCAAACGGAGGGGGTGGCGTTTGTGAAAGTTCGGTGCCAGTTTCCTTTGCTATCCGAAAAGGGGGCTCCATTTGGGTGTGTCTCCAAATAGGCCCCCCCATTTACGGTGGTCTCGTTTTGGTTTTCTTTGAGACCGACTGCAAAAAGGGTGGCCTCAAAAAAACACTTTACTCCCTGGAGCATTTTGTGTGAGGCTGCCCGTTTTGATATTGCATTAAAGGCAAGGCAACACCACCCCTGGCCCGTGGAGTGCCCCCGCGCCGAGTTTCGCATGGCCATCACCCACACAGCCCCGTTCTCAGAATTTCCACAGGTTTGACTCCGGGACTCCGGCGGATTCTCTGGTGCTGTAACACAAGGGCCTAAACCAGTCCTTCGATGTGCGCTTGAGAATAGTTTGTTGTATATATATATATATATAGGTATATATATATATATATATTATTATTGATATTATTATTATAATTGTTATGTTCCCTTGTTGGCTTTAAAGGGAATCTATCACTACTGGAAATATGTTATTTTTGCGGAGGACTCAAGCAAATAGAGGATTTGAGTTGGGTTATGGCACTTTGAAGGCACATCTAGGCATGGGTAAACTATTAGTCATTGTTTGTATCATACTATATGTTTACCCGGAGTGTCCATGACCCTTAAAAAATGGGGTCATTACCCAAAATAATGGGGTCATGGACCCATTTGTTAAGGGTCTAGGTAAAGATTTGTGGCGCGTTTATTTTCATCGAATTCAAAGCCCCCTCCTAAAGCGTTTGGCATCGGCCGTTGTTGGAGATTTGGGATTTGCTTCTCGACCTTTTGGGGCGTGAACAAAAAATGGTGGTTTGTTTGTTTTGGTTTTGGTTTTCTCGAAATCACTTTTCACTGGGAGTAGAAGCCCCAGACAAATGCTCAGTACTGTTGGGTTGCTGGTTCGGGGCTCATGGCTTGCCAGCGCCCCTTCTTTGAACAGCGAGCTCTCGGGGCTGTTGGCACATTCTGATGCTGGTGCTGAGGATCCCGTGTATGGTGGCACATGCCCACGCCTTCACTTGTTGCCAAGCCCGTTTGCAGATTGTATGGTCTATGCTCTTTCAATAGCCTGGGACCTACAAATGTGTGTTGCGTCCCTTATCTTCCATTTAAATCCAACCCAAAAGGGCTACCCCCAAAAGACACCCCCAAATGGTTTTGTCACAGGGTTCGCACCGGGGTTTCATATTCGATAAAATTCAGCCTTACACAAGTGGGGGCAATGTCGGAATCTGGATACCATTGAGGGGTTGGGAAAGCCCCCTTTGGCAGGGAGCTAACTTCAGTCGATCCGCCCAGCAAATTGTAACGAGCTCAGCTGAGATATGATGTGAGCGAGCCCATGCGTGAAGCTTTTTTCAATTTGTTTATAACCCGCCGGCAACACATTGGATGTTTAAAACCACCAAAAGGGGAACCATTGGCAACCCTGAGCAAACTGCAACGCTTGGGGCATATCCAGTGACCCCCATGCAGAGTTGATGAACAAGTCACGGGGTGATTACATGCTTTGGCTCATGTCTTTGGCGAGTACAGGTCGCACGAGAGTAGCGTGCCATAACGCGAAGGCTGAGGAGGTAATCAGCAAGGGTGTCAGCAAGCTTGCTACAACTGTAGAAAAAATTAGTGGACCGGCAGCCCGGAGAGCGTTTGATGTGACAGGAAGGACCCTTAGAGTGGGGAAGCTAGACCTAGAACTTGTGGAATCGACTGCGCAGCAAGCTGTTCACTCTGCTGACTGGTTAGGGCGCGAGATCTCGGCAGACGGAACTTATCCCTTAGGTGTCTAGGAGTGTAGACGCCGAATGAGGTCAGGTTTCTGAATCTAGTCTTGAGAGGGGGGAAATCTTTGGAAGGACTGCCGCGGCCTTAGTGAGTGATTCAATGCTTCAGTTTGTTGTCTGAGGTCGGATACCGACCGCTCTGATCATTGACTTCGCAGGCATGTTGCACCGATCCACGCCATGCAACCCACCATTTGGAGGATAGGTGAGGTGAACAGGAAGCGAGTCGCAAAGTAAAAGACTGCAAGTGAGCAGAGGCATCTTGAACTCAAGGGCATTTGAATGGTGTCTCAGAAAGGGGACCCCCATGGCCAGTATTCTTTTGGTGTCCATCCAAAGCCAACGTGCGAGGGAAATCGACCAATTCGGCACGTTCCGAAGGCGGCAAATCCGCTCCCCGGCTTTGGGATTTCAGCCGGGGCCTGAGGGCATCACCTCGTCTGTGACAAAATGGCCGAAAAACTGGCGTCAACGAATTTGACCGGCCTGGGCGAAACGAGCTCACCCATGAAGGTTACCTCAAGGATTGGCTGTTTCTGCTTCGTGACTGATGGGAATTTGTGCAGATGGACCCGAAGCTACATGAGGATGTCAAAATAACAGTGATTTAAATTTTAGGCATATTCAAGCACTTGAGTACTGGGGCCGTTGGCATTCACCTGTTTTGAGTCAGCCCCTGGATGTTCAACCCATGTCAGGTAAGTGCAGCATAGGTCCATTCACCTTAAAGGACGAACTTTGGTTTCCGGGTTCTCCCAACAACTATGGTGCTAAGTTGTATCTTGCAACTTGAACATCCCTAGAGGCTTCTCGGGTCTCAAAGCCTTGTGCTTTGGCATATGTTGGCATCCTGGATTCTTTGCACGAGTATGTGACGTATGTGTTTCTTGGCGGAGCCAACACGCGTGGTACACGGGCCACCGAGTCGGCCGAACGGATCGCCGGTGCAGGGAACTGAAGCCCAGCCCAGATGCGTTTTCTGCACCGAAAAGAGAACGCGTTCTCGAGCGGAGAAGCGAGGGCTTGGCAAAAATTGGGGTCACCATGTTGTCGGTTTCTCAGGGTTTGCAAAAAAAAGAACTGGGGTTGTCTCCGGGTTTTCCAAGTGAACTGGGGGGGTTGTTTGCTCTTGAGGCCGCCACTCCCCCAAAGCTCCCTCCCTGAGGGCCGCAACAAGTTTTTTCGCTTTGGTCAGCCAATCCACGCAGATCAGGAAAGGGCGTCGTTTCTGGGCTTGTTTACTAGGTCCCCCAGTAGTGCCCTTTTCCCCCTTTTTTGGGGGAGGGTTCCCCTACCAAAATGGACTACAGAAAAAAGGGTGCCAGCATATTTTGAGTGCCCTCCAATGAAGGACACTTGACGTGTTTTTGACTCGAGGGCACTTGAGGCCGTGTCAGTGGCCTGAGTGACCCTCTGATTCGTTTGCTAAGTGCCCGTTTTGACTTGATAGGGGTTGGGATTTTGTTGAAATCGAACAGCTACCCGTGTCGAAGTGTGATAGCTGCCACATGTGATTGGGGCCGACCCGGAAAGCCCGAACATGGCGTTGTGAGTGTCAAAGCGTGTCGTTTGAGTGTCAGTGGTTGTGCGAATTGAGGTCACTTACCCCTTGAAAAGGTCACTTACGCTAGTGTTGGTCCCCCCTGCGTGAGTGTCGTTCGCGTGTCGCTGCAGCTCGATCCCCCCCCCCTCCCCCCGTGTGAGTGTCATTCGCATTCACGTGTTGCTGCGGCTCGATTTGCCCGGACTGAGGAGGGATCTGCTGGGGGCAGCAACCCTGAGGGTCTAAGTGCCCTTTAAATGGCTCAAGTGACCTCTTTGATTTAGGACTAAGTACCCTTATTTTCAAAATGGATCATAGCACCCAAAAAAAATGAATCGAGCGCACTGAAAAGAAGCTGGCACCCTTATTCTAATCTCTGTGCTGGAGGACCTAGTAGCTAATCAATTTTAAGTGAGAAGAAAGGGGCTCCGTTTTGTCGGGACTAGTATGGCGTCGCAAACTGTGCTTCAACTGCTCAAGCCACCTCGATGGTGTTTGTTTTTGTGCACTATAGAACAAAAATCCTTTGCGGTACTCTCTGGATTCCTTCGTGATGTATTTGATTGAAAGGAGTCAGATGGAAGGGATTCCAAAAGTGACGTCCCGGAAGGCGGGCATGAGGAAAGGCTTCCACACGTCAGCGACCATTCTTTTGGTTGGAAGCGAGCAATTCATGCAGATACAAAGATTATTTGCACGGCATGCAGTGGGGCCCTTTGGCTATGTTTGTGTGTTTGGTTAACAAACCTTCACAACACAAAGCTCCTCATGTACATCATCACCAAAGGGTCCATGGTTCAATATCATACCGCAACGAAAGGATGGGTGACTCTCCACACACAGACGTGGGGAATAAACTTCCTGAAAAAATTGGCCTTTGGGTCTCTGGCAAACTTGCATCTCAATGTTCTACAACGAGGCTTTGACCCAAAAAACTGTTGCTTACACAAACTGCAAAAAACAACTTGAACAAAAGAGGGTGACGATCCAAACAGAGAAAGAAACAAAAAACGTTTGCTTCGCCATGATCGAGACGCTGGCTGTTGGCCTTTGCTCCGCTCTGGCGGCGGCCGCCTGGCGGCGAAGAGGGCGAAGAGAAGAGCCGCGGAGCGGCGTCATCTTCACTGGGACCGGGAGCTCATCAGGCACTGTGAGCACGTGCTGGATATGGGCCTGGGCCTGGGGATTTTTTGGGGAAAACTCCTCTTGTTGAGCGTGCTGGGGCTGGGGAGAAGCGACTCATCGTTTTGGGCGTGCTGGTTGTTTTCGACGGGTTGGTGTGATTTGGACGGTTGGGATGGTTTGGTTTGAAGCGAAGGTTGGGATGCTGGGTTGGGCCACTTTTGGTGATAGTGATTTGGGTTGTTTTTGGTGGTCCTGGTTTGGATATTTACCGGATGACTGGTCCTCCGTTTGTGTTGTTTTTGTTTGGCTGAGTTGGATGCTTTGGAGCTTGTGATGGTTTGGATTGGACCCCGTCTTCGGAGTTCTTTCCTTGGATCTGGGCCTAAAAAGATATGGATCCTGCCCTTGGGTTTCGAAAGAACCGAACATCCGGTTTGCCAGGAGGAGAAGACTCCCAAGCCAATGGCAGGTTTGGCTCAAGGTGTCTTGACAATTATTTCTTCCTGTTTGTTCAACGGAACTTGTGGTGACCGGTGAACGTACAAAAGAGCCCTAGTCGTGACACCCCACATTCTACTAATCCCAATATATTGTTTTGACCAACCCCCTGCAGCCCTTCCCGCACTATATTGTTGGGCGGCCAATTTTGCAAGCCGCCGAATTTAACCATATCACAACAAAAGCTTTTCCACCTCTTATATCTATGTACCGTGCACCATGCCACCCCCCCATGGTTTCCTTTTGGGGATGACAAATCTAGAATCTAGAGATGTTAATCCTCGAATTGTCCCATTTTGAGCCAAAATTAAAGACTCATAGGAGTCCTCCGAAGTGTCCCAATATGCGATCCTTTCCAAATAGGATTTTGCTTCAAATAGATTTGGAATGTTGAATAGAGTTTAGTTTATAGCTGCAATGTATATATTAAAGACTAGTTGACTTTTACCCAATGTTTCTATGATTATTATTACATTGTAGTTTAACTCCTATTTGGAAAAGTGTGTTATTTCAATTATATTTGAACATCAAACAAATTGAAAACCTATATCATTATGCATGCGCAACTGTAATTCGAATTTCAAAACAATAATACTAGTACGATTGTAATTCAATCGGCTTTTTGACAATAATAATTGAATAGACTTACTTCTTCAGTATAATTCATACTTTTTCTGGCTAAATATTTAAGGAAGTTCTATAATAAAATTCGAAATGGGATTCGTGTTATTTGCATCATGACCCTTTTGTGGCATAAGAAAGGTCCTAAACTAAACTTCTTTGACGGTGTTCCAACATGGAACTGGTTCGAACTCTAAATCTCGAAACAGGGATTCTCGCTAAATCAGTTGCATTTACAGTCCTACTTGGACAGGAAATCATGAGGCAGAGGTAGTAGATGAGCAGATGTGAACAGGTGGGCGAGGGTTGACGGTGTGTGAACACATAAATATATACATTTCTCTACAGACATGCGCACATATAGGCCCCTCATGAAGCTGCGTCTTCATAAAGTACGGTGAGAAACAGTGCTTTTGAGCATTACACCTGCGTTTGTGTACCTCCTGGACAAGGGTCAACATGAGCATAGCTTACATGAAGCAAAAAGCTCGCCAAAAGCACTTGAAAGTGTGTCCAAAGAACTTGAAAGTTGTTTCACTGGATCGCTAAGCACTTGAACGTATTTTACCACTGGATTGAAGATTCAATATCGAAGATTCAACAGAAAAAAAAGTCCTGAAAAGTCGTCAATCCTGGCCAAACCGAAACAACATTCAAGTTCTTCTAAACACCTGAACGTGCTTTGCCACTAGATTGAAGATTCAAGATTGAAGATTGCACAGCAAACTTTCCCGAGAATCCTCAATCCTGGCCAACTCCAGAAAACTTTCAAATTTCTCTAAAATATTAAGTATTTTAAAAGCAATGCATTGAAGATTCACGATTGAAGTCTTTCACGGAAGGCTTTTCCGAGAATCTTATCCTCGCACTTTAAGCCATTGCGCGAACCTGGAGGGTTGCAAATTAAATCCATGTGACTGCAGACGGGTTTGTATGCTTGGTTGCGGAAGTATGTATTGGAAGCCTGGAGTTTGGGGACAACACTGGATGTATTTGAAGAAATATACTAAAGATAATGAGATTCAAGATTCAAGACTCCCCAAAACTGTTTTCTCAGATTCTTGAATCTTGAATCCCACGATGATTGAATCTGTTTTATACAAACATCTAAGTTGTCCCAATACTGTTAGATGCACACAGACTCTGTCAGATGGCAGATGTTGACGTCATTGCTTACAGTACACGTGTATATACACCTCCTCCTCCTTTTGTCACAGAATCAATAAGGCAAACAAGGCATAACACTGTGGACAAAAACACAGCTGAAACCAAACCAGGGTCCATCCATGGTGGGGGGGGTACTACATGATTTTGACCCAACCCCCCCCCCCCCCATCGTGCCCCAATATACTGACATGTTTTTCGCTGGGTAAGGGTCCAACTACCCTCTTTCAGCCCTCAAACACCATAGGGTTATCTGACCCTTTGGGTGGCTGTCTTGGCACCAAGCAAAGCAAGCGGAAACAGGACCCCTCTATCTCTCTAGCCCCTTTTATTCCTCTTGGCCTTATGTGCAACCATCACCCAGGGCTTGCTTCACCCAAAAAAAGCGATGGGGTTTCGACAAATTGCAACCTCTACATTCCAAGGTGAAGGGATCCCCAAGGACCTCAATGGTGCTACCGTGAATCGGTGAGCCTGCCATTAGACATACATATTGTTTTGACCCCTACTCCAAATACCAACTTGTTAGGTGAGGGTATGCTCACATAGGTTGCCCTTGTTGTTGGCGGATTGCTTTAGGCTTCCCAATCCTCAACATGAGCTTCAGGTTTGTGGACACACAAACATGGGAACTGGCATGTGCATACGTAGACACAGAGAACATGGCGTTGTCCTTGCAACAAAACATACGGCTACTTAAAGTCTTACAATCGAGGTGTGTAGGTGTGTACCATGCGTTTCTCAATATTCCCTACCCAATGATTCCATTTTCTTGTGGGCAGCCAAGAGGTGTCCCACTCTTAAACTAAAAGGACAGTGAAGGGATACGGCTAAACGGGACACGTCTCGGCTATGAAGGTGCTATTTGCCATGGACAACTCAGTTTCTCAACATACTCTTTCAAAAGTGGCATTTGAAGGTGACCCTTGGTTTCTGTCAGCACCAATCAAAGCCACTGGAAACCATAACCATTATGTTGATCAACATCTTTGATTAGGGAACCCAGGTGACGCAAATGTGACACTCCTCAGAATTTTAACCAGGAACCACCCCAAAATGATTGGTGGACATGAATTCCCACCGAAGGGTGTCCACCAAAGGGTCCCCTACTAAAATTCATACACATGTGGGTTAGTAACCAGGGAAACCCAGGGGAATGAAGCGGCATTCCACCCTTATTAATAGGGGGAAAGGATTACTGCTAGGTCCCCCAGTCGTGTTTTACCCTTGTTTGGGGGAGGGTTCCTACTACAATCGACCACAGAAACAAGACACGTACCAACTTATTCTAACTTCTCTACCGGAGGAGACTGGGAACCCAGCGACCCACATGTGACACCCCGAAGCTGATTTGGCCAAAGCCCTTTGGTCTCCAGGCTGTCCCATGCTGCGCTGCGCCATCGGCGGCGAGGGCGGCGTGCCGGGCTGCAGGGCCTGCCGCCCGGCGCAGCGCGGAGGACGGAGGAATCCCAACTGGCGGAACAACGTGGGCCTGGTGATCCGCCGCGCGGCAAAAAGGAAGAACCGGGGGTCAGGCGTGTTGTGTCTTGCTGCACCAAAAAAACAACAAAAAGGTGTGTCGTCTGGGCACCTGTTCCATTTTTCGGTACGGGATCCCCGAAAATGCAGGGTTTCCTTGTGGTTCCCCTTTACAACCACGGAGGAAAAAAAACACGCAAACATACGGAAGCGCGGTGTTTCATTTTCGTGTGCACCCGTTCTTTATGGTTTGGTTGATTCAAAAGGAAAACCATTGGCAAAGCACATGTTGTAGTTGTGTTAGGTGTGTGTAAAGATTGGGGACTCCTAAATTCTAAAGATGGTTGGTTTCGTGTTGGTGGTGTCCCTTCTGAAAAGGGGGAGTGTTCTATTTTGAGAAACTCCTGCATATATATGAGCCACGGACAAAACACACGAAGACCACTTTATCAAGGCGGGGTACGTTTTTGCATAACACATGCCAAAACCATGGAAAACGATAAGGTCTCCCCCAAAAACGATAACCCTTAGCTAACACACGGCTCTATAATAACCCCTGCAGTTGCAACTTAGCTAGGGTGGGACCCTTGCGTGGCCACCGCAAAACAGGAAGGCGAGTCGCCACTTTCGAGCTGGAGCTGCCAAGGTGTGCTTCGTAAATGCGACACTTGTACTGAGAAGTTGCGATTTTCGAGCTGGAGTTGCGGAAGTGTACTACCTGGGCTACTAGACTTGCACGACAAAGTTGCGATTTTCGAGCTGGAGATGCGGAAATTTACTTCTCGTACTAGACTTGTACTAGAAAGTTTCGATCTTCGGGCTGGAGATGCGGAAGTAAGTATACTTCACTTACTAGACTTGTACTACAAAGTTGCGATTTTCGAGCTGGAGATGCGGAAGTGTACTTCGCGTACTAGACTTGTACTACAAAGTTGCGAGTTTCGAGCTGGAGCTGCGGAAGTGTACTTCGCGTACTAGACTTATATATGCTACAAAGTTGCCATTTTCGAGCTGGAGCTGCGGAAGCGTACTTCGCGTACTAGTACTACAAAGTTGCGATTTTCGAGCTGGAGCTGCGGAAGTGTACTTTGCGTACTAGACTTGTACTACAAAGTTGCGATTTTCGAGCTGGAGATGCGGAAGTGTACTTCGCGTACTAGACTTGTACTACAAAGTTGCGATTTTCGAGCTGGAGATGCGGAAGTGTATTTCGCGTACTAGACTTGTACTACAAAGTTGCGAGTTTCGAGCTGGAGCTGCGGAAGTGTACTTCGCGTACTAGACTTGTGCTACAAAGCTGCGATTTTCGAGCTGGAGATGCGGAGTGTACTTCGCGTACTAGGCTTGTACTACAAAGTTGCGATTTTCGAGCTGGAGATGTGGAAGTGCGCTTCGCGTACTTGTACTACAAAGTTGCGATGTTCGAGCTGGAGCTGCGGAAGTGTACTTCGCGTACTAGACTTGTACAACAAAGTGCGATTTTGAGCTGGAGCTGCGGAAGTGTACTTCGCGTACTAGACTTGTACTACAAAGTTGCGATTTTCGAGCTGGAGATGCGGAAGTGTACTTCGCGTACTAGACTTGTACTACAAAGTTGCGATTTTCGAGCTGGAGCTGCGGAAGTGTCCTTCGCGTACTAGACTTGTGCTACAAAGTTTTCGTTTTTGCGGAAGTGTACTTCGCGTACTAGACTTGTACTACAAAGTTGCGATTTTCGAGCTGGAGCTGCGGAAGTGTACTTCGCGTACTAGACTTGTACTACAAAGTTGCGATTTTCGAGCTGGAGCTGCGGAAGTGTACTTCGCGTACTAGACTTGCACTACAAAGTTGCGATTTTCGAGCTGGAGCTGCGGAAGTGTACTTCGCGTACTAGACTTGTACTACAAAGTTGCGATTTTCGAGCTGGAGCTGCGGAAGTGTACTTCGCGTACTAGACTTGCACTACAAAGTTGCGACTTTCGAGCTGGAGCTGCGGAAGTGTACTTCGTGTACTAGACTTGTGCTACAAAGTTGCCATTTTCGAGCTGGAGCTGCGGAAGCGTACTTCGCATACTAGACTACAAAGTTGCGATTTTCGAGCTGGAGCTGCGGAAGTGTATTTTGCGTACTAGACTTGTGCTACAAAGTTGCGATTTTCGAGCTGGAGATGCAGAAGTGTACTTCGCTTACTAGACTTGTACTACAAAGTTTCGATTTTCGAGCTGAAGCTGCGGAAGTGTACTTCGTACTACAAGTTGCGATTTTCGAGCTGGAGTCGAGCTTGAGCTGCGGAAGTGTACTTCGTGTACTAGACTTATACTACAAAGTTGCGATTTTCGAGCTGGAGCTGCGGAAGTGTACCTCGCGCACTAGACTTGTACTACGAAATTGCGATTTTCGAGCTGGAGATGCGGAAGTGTACTTCGCTTACTAGACTTGCACTACAAAGTTTCCATTTTTCGAGCTGGAGCTGCGGAAATGTACTCCGCGTACTTGACTTGTACTACAAAGTTGCGATTTTCGAGCCGGATCTGCCAAAGTTCGAAAACACTATAAAACGATAAGGTCTCCCCCAAAAACGATAACGTTCAACAAAGTACTAGGGCCAAGTAAAGTGTTTCGTCCGCTCCTCATATATATATATGTATATGTGTATGTATACATATACCTATATTTAAATGTAAGGTTTATATTGTTTCTTGTTTTCCAGTGGATCCCAGTTGCCACTGCAGGTTTAATTTTTGGATATATGGGTGTGGCTTTTTCAGAGAGCACTTTTGTAAAGGACACATCGCATAAATATTTGAACAACAACACGGGGATCCTCTAAATCAGCTAGTAAAGGTGACTTTTTGGCTGTCCCAAGTGGGTGTGTGTCCATATTTGGACCCCCTGGAACCGGGTGAGTTTCGTAATCCAACTCAAAAGCGTAGCCTCTGATATGTATGTGTCAGTCTACATATATATATATATATATATATCTACCTCTGTGTGAGGAGGTGTTTTTTTGCAGGGTACCTGCTTTGAGTCTGTCAGGGAAATGACCAGAATGTGCCGTGGTCAATGGACCCTCCTTTCGGAATTATGGGCCTGTCGTTTTTGAGGGTAATGTAGCTTGTTCCACACAATGGTTAATTGCATGATCCGTATGAACCTATTGCCATTTTGGACCCCTGTTGGTTGCGGGTTTCGATTAACGATCATTTGGTTCACAAGCTGAAGGTTCATACCAGGGGTTTACGCAGGGACTGTTCACACCCACTAAGCAGTGGTTGAGTTGGTGGTTTGGAGCTTAACAAATATCTTTCCAATTGCTTTCAAGAGGAATTGCGGGTTCAAGCCACCAACCAGGAGTTAGGTGAGGAATAGCACCTATTGGCACTTGGTTGTGCTACTTGGTTCCTCACAGCGCCGTTGAACGATTGCATCTTGATAGCTGTTTTCTCCAGGCGGTTTCCCCACTCCAAAAGAATTAAGCGACCCTTCGCTAACCTGTTAGGTTTTTGTTGCGAGACATTTTACTGACCTGCAGAAATCAGTTTTTCATTGCCAGACTTCACAAGCTCCTATTCGCCCCTTTGCTTTGGTCCCCGGTCCGGATGCCGGATCCTTCGCCTGGCCATCGGATCCGCCTACCGAGACTCTCCTTCTGACCCGACTCAATGGGTCCATGACCCCGTTATTTTGGGTGATGACCACATTTTGTAAGGGTCATGGAGACTCCAGGTACCCCTGCAGCGGGCGTATTTTTTGTGAATTTCCCGAGTCTCAGGATGGTTTGCGGATGGCCAGTGGCGACATCTGCAAATCGACTGCGGCAAGACCTTCCGGGACTCGGTGCTACTTTGGTACAAGGACCGCGGGTTCGGCAATTGGTGCCCCCAGCAGTTGGTGCCCGACCTCTCACCCCTTTTTTGGTTGGGAGGGTTCCCCTACTAAAATAGACTACAGAGAAATTCGGGTACCCTTATTCTAAGCTCTCTGCTGGAGGACCTAGGTGGGGTGCGGGGGTGCGGGGGTGTGGAAAGTCCACCTTGGAACCGAAGTCAAAATCGGAAGCCCATGTTGGTATCACCGGAAATTCGTGTTCCACAAAGAGGTGACACAAGGGCAGAAGAAGTACACATATTCATATCTTCCGATCATGACTTGACTTGGTCTTGGAGTACCGCAAAGCCCCATTTGGCTTGCTTAGGCCTTTGCAAAATGAGTGCCTTGGATGTGTGATTCAAGGATTTGAACCCCTGGTTCTTGTAGAGGGTAAATGGACAGCCCCCCGTCCAATCCACCAATCCAAACCAGGAAACCACCAAGTAGAGGGAAGCTGAGTAGGAGCACCAGATCCACTATTTGGATGCTGTCCTGCTCACGCACGATCATGCGGATGCGATCCTCGGTCCTGGCCTCAGCTGCGCGTAGGCTCTGGTTCCTGGACACCGGGCAACATTTTTTGTTTTTCAGGAACTCTTTCAGATTGCATCCCGGACGTTTGTGATTTCATCGCATGAATCAGATCAGTTGGTTGATTTCCGGATTGCATGAATCTGAAACTTAGTTGTAAATTTCAGTGATCATGATGACCTTTCTTGATGTTGGATTCTTTGAGCAACGACTGCCATTGCCACACGCCCTGATGTCCCAAGCTCGGAGACTTGCAAGGAAGGTGCCTATATGTGCACCGCGCAACATGCCATAGACTTTGGGGCGGATTTTGAAGCGATAAGCCATTGGGTAAATCGAGTCCTCAAGTTTCACCATTGACACTCATGTTGCGGGAGAATCGGGTTTTCAGTGTGATACCAAGGGAATTCCCTTCAAAGTCACAAAACAGTTCGATGGACATTCATATCACGTTGGTATCACACAAAGCTGACTTTCCACAAACATGTTGACACTCGAGCACCACTCAAAACCCTTTTTTGGCCATTTTCGGTGGTTCTGCTGCCTGGTTTCACGAGGATTGACAGGCTTATACCAACCTGCAGAACATCTTGGTTGAAGCAAACGGCAATGACTGTTACATGGTTATTGTTGGGAAACATTTTGCATTTTTGCTTCTTGTGGTTTAGTGGGAAATCCCCACTTAGCTGCTAAAAAAATATTTTTGTTGCTCCCCTTCCAACGTCAACCAGGGCTAGTCGCTGCTCACTTGAAATTCCACCACCCAGCTTTCGCCAGCTTGGGGCTTCCGGCGTCCAAGCCTAGCGTCTCCGACTTGGACAATGCGTGGGTCTTTGAATCGGCGTGTTGCATTTGTCAATGAGCCTAATCATACACATGTACATTGAAGCTTATGTTCAACATAGTTTGCGTAGAAGCCTAGCCATATATATATATATATGCACTTACATATGCTACAGCTTGCACAGTACGCAATAACAGACAATAATTGTGTATGTACACATACATATATGTATGCAGCATGCAGATACATATACATCTACATATGTACAAATGTACATGTATGCATAGACACATGTGTATGCATGAGTATGCAACTATATTTGCATATATAATTATATATATATATATATTGTATGTATATATATATATATGTATACACATGCATGTATATATGCAAGTACCTCTATGATGTTGTATATTACACTCGTACATGTGTAGCCTTTCCAAGTGTTTCAATCCTGATTCAGAGTCATAGCAAGGGAACTTGTGTGAAGGTTATGCCTCTATTCTAAACTATTTGGATGCGTGTGTTTTGTGAATTCCACACGTTTTTTCTCACTGTTGGTGCTTTTGGGTTGGCGCGTTTAGTGCTGCTTTGATATCCTACGGGAGAGGGTGCGCAACGCCGCATGCAAATCGTTTCCTAGATGAATTGGTCCTTCATGGCCCCCAAACAGTCTGTCACAGGCATCAATAGTAGCATTGGGTTGCTATGACTTCTCCTCATAGGTCCTAAATGGGCAGTATGTGTGTTTGTGGGGGGTAAACACCCCTTTGCCTACTCGGGGTTGGGAGGTAGGGAGGGAATTGAGACCACCATGATCTGAGCTCCGAGTAGGAGAAGCATGACCATGACCCTCATTTTGGACTTTGCCCCATGGGACACATAGATTTGCAAAACCAAACAAAAGGGGAGCCCACAAAAGGGAACCCCAGGTTTCCTTTTCTGGTCACGTGGCATCCCGGAGGTTTGGACGAGCTGCGGCAACTGCAGCGCTTCGACCCGCAGACCCGACAAGTCTCGGGGCCGCCGCTGCAGTGCTTCTGCGACGGTCGCACCCTGCGGCACTGCCGCCGCTCGGAAGTGCGACGGAATTCTCGTGCTTCCTTCCCCATTCTGAACCCAGGGATCCTTATTAGAACACCTCCGGAAACCCAGGGAAACGGATCCGGTTGTCGAAAAGAACGATGGTTGGAAAGAATGGGGAATCAACCCTTAGAGGAATGTGTTTGTGTCGTGGTTTCTTTTTTTTAAATCCACAAAATGAGTGTGTGTGTGTGTGTGTTGTTTTTGAGGGTGCCCTGTCTTTTGGGGGTTGGCTTAAAAGCAAAGTGAAAGGACGACCATCATTTTGTGGGGCCCTTGTTTTGACACATACTCAAATGCACTTTGGGGTGGTTTTGATTTTTGTGTGATTTCTCGCACATGTGTCCAGTTTCTAGCTACGCACAAGTAGGGTTGTGCAATCTCTGGATTTGGGGGGCGCTTTTTTCCCAGAGGTTGTCACAAACGGTTATCAAAACGATGGCCGGTTCCTTCCGCTCAAGGTGCCGGCTTTTACAAGCGGGATCCCAACCAGGCTCAGGGCCCTCCGGGCCCCTAATGTTGACAACCCCCCCACGACCTACGACAGTCGCGTGACGTGTTAGGTCGCGCCTTCCCTTACCTCTTTCCCAAAGAGAAGGCGCTGGGTCTGGCGACCGCGTGGTGTCAGTGCAACGGCGGCTGCAACGAGTGCGACAAGCCCACGGTGGAGCGTTTTGTGGCGACCATCGACTGGCAGGATTCGAAATTCGAGTTGATGGAATGGGGGGGGGGGGCTGACGCCTGGATGTGTGGGGAAGACTTCCAAAAATGGAATTGGGGAGTCCACCCCCTGCCAGATCCAAGAAAGGTCGTTCACGCTGGAGATGTCTCATAGAATTCCACTGGAGAGCCGCAGCACTGTGGACATTGGGCTTCAGGTAGTATGGATGGATCGCTCCAGAAAGTTTCCACAAATCAGCCACAGTCAATCAGGCCGTTGTCGTGGGTACAGGAAAGCGCGCCCCTTTTTTTCGGTTCGACGCAAATCAGGAGATCCCTGAAGACACGTCCGCCTTTCACGTGGCGGGCCTAACGCTCCACGCGCTCCCAGTGCTGCATGGTGCCGACTACCTATGCTTCGGCTACGGCTTCGGTCCCGCAGGCGGTCGCTCTGCGGCTGCACGGAGAGGGGATCGGAACCGGGTGGGCCTCGTGTGACCAGTGACCAGTTTTTTTTTTGACCATCTTGTGGGAGTGACCATCTTTAGTTAACCCTTGAGTGATTCCAACCGCCATGAAAGCAGTAGTGGGGGTCAATGTAACCAGCATCGTTGTTTAAGGAGCTTCATCATCTACATTGAATCAACACTTATTTTGATTGGGTTTGAACCCTGGAGTCTTTAGTCAAACAAGAAGGGGTAAGCGTGCCACTGAACATTCTGCTCCAAGAATCCACCAACTGTAAAAGGTGGAACCCGGACCCCTTATCCCCCAGTAAAGAAACCAACGGGATTGTCGACATGTACGCATGAAAACCACCATGTTCGACAGGAGGTTGGCCAAGCACCCTCCGAGGAAATGAGTTGGCCAAATGCAAAAGGATTGGTTTCAAGGAGTCAAGGTTCGCTTTGGACAGCCCATAGATTCTTAGAAGCTGGCACGTCCATGTTGTCCACACCTAGACTCTCCTTCTGACCCATTAAAAATGGGGCCATGACCCCATTATTTTGGGTAATGACCCAAGGGTCATGGAGACTCCAGACACCCTGTATTCTTGCTGGTTCAGGAGGAAATGCTGGAATGACCCCGAACTGGGCGTTTTCCGTTTTGGGGGATCCCCTTCCGCAACCCCGCAAACCATTCCTTAGCGAGAGCCAATTGTTTCACACCTTTCGCTCTGCTCAGAACTTGAGTCTGGGGATATACGACCTCAACCGGAAAATCTGTAGGGCTAACTTTAACTAATTAGCTTCCCCACTAGTGCCTTTTTACCCTTTTTTTGGGGAGGGTTCCCCTACTAAAATAGACTACAGAAAAAAAGTTGGTACCCTTATTCTAACCTCTCTACTGGAGCACCTAGTTAAGGGGCAACACGTCATGCATCCCCTCTAGGCGTGGTCTATATCTCCGACTACACGCAACTGCTGCCGAAGACGGAGGCCTTGTTGAAGCTCTGGAGCCAGCCGCCTGCTGCCCGCCTGTGAGGGAGAGGCGGTAGGGCGCAGAAGGGACAGAAGGGTGCTGCTTTCCGGGGGCGTTCTATTTTGGAAAAACACAATGCCCATAACCATGAAGACACATCAGGTCCAAGTTCTGTTGCCGCAAGCCAAGGTTGCGGAATCAGACATTTAGGCAGTTGCAGTCGCTGAATCCGCCGGAATGTATTTCTGGGTCCCCCAGTAGTGCCCTTTTACTCTTTTGCGGGGGAGGGTTCTCCTGTTTGAAATAGACTACAGAAAAAAAGGGTACCCTTATTCTATCCTCTCTACTGGAGGACGTAGCTAAACTTTGCTGAAAAGTTGCGACTGTCTTGCTGGAGCTGCCAAATTGTGCTTTAGATATACTAGAAACATGCGAGTCCGAGCGGGAACTGTATAATTACTACGCTTGTACCAAAAATGTGTCTTTTGAGCTAGAGCTGCCACAGCACTACAAACCGACAGAGGAAAGCATAACATCAACCGATGCAGGTGTAAACTTTCAAATGTTGTCCGCGGCTTTGTTCAACCCAGTTGGGTGTGGCAATCTGCCACCATATAGGAACGTGGCAGGTTAGATTTGCACGTTGCAGGACCTACTCCAAGTTGTTTACTTGATTTGTGCCCCACCCATTTACACCTTAGTCTGTTTGATGTTTGCCCAAGGTTGCCGTTTTTTGGAGGGTTTCGATTCCGTTTGCCACTGAAACTGGTGACCCCAAGTGTTTTGTTTCCCGTTCTAGGTCCCCCAGTAGTGCCCTTTTACCTTTTGTTTTGAGGAGGGTTCTCCTACTAAAATAGACTACGGACAAACGCTGGCACCCTTGTTCTAACCTCTCTACTGGAGGACCCAGCATTTAAGATTTGTGTTTTTTTAGCTCGATTCCGAGGATGGCATCGAGCTGATGATCTTGGACGTGCTCCATCCAGACGCCACCCGTAGTCCGGTGCACGCCTGTCTCGAGGAGAGCCTCGACTTGGTCCGGCGCTTTCGCCCTCGCAAGGCGATCTGCGCGGAGGGTCCGCGAGCGCGGCGCAACCAATAGGGGCTCCAATTTGTTGACCCCGAGGTAGACTTAAAACCGGGGACCTGAAATCAATCGCTGGGTTGTTTGTCTACCATGTGGCAATAAAATCTAAATCTGCAGGGAGGTACTAGTACCACCCTGTTTTGTTCCATCGGGGTGCTAGAAAGGCCTATATCAAGCTTGAACCCTGTTGATTGAACCAAAACATCAAGATACTATCGGCGCCACTCGAGTGGGTCCGTCTTTCTTTGAGGCTCAGTTTCCCCCTTAGAAGGCCCTTTAAACATGAGTTTCCTTTAAGTGGGGCTGACGTTGAGGGCAGATGATGTGAAGGGAGTGCCTTTGGGTGTGTGTGTGTGTGTCTGTTTCAAACCTCAGTTTCCTTTCAAGGCCGGGCAAAGAAAGATCACCTTTTGAAGTGGGGCGATGTTTGAGTGTGTTGGTGTTGGGTCTCGTTACCTTTTCAAGGCCCATTGAAAGTGATGCGTAAGGGGCAGCTTGGGGTGTTGCTAAGACTCTGCTGGGTCTGTTTCATGCTGCGGACCCTGGCAGGCGTTCTTCGTGGGCATGGGCCACTACTGCCCCTTGGCTGGGTGCCGCGCGTCTCCCATGTTTTCTTGTTGCGCCCAAGGGCGGCAAACTGAAAGCCTCTAAGGTGTGGAAGGAAGGTTGAACCTGATTGGTCAGCGCCCCCCCCCCCCACTCAAGGTCGACAAGGTTTGGGAATGACCGAAATTTTGGAGGCCTTGGGCTCCCTCGGAATCCAACCTGGCCAGTCCTCTCGAGCCGGTCCTTTCCTGGGTCTGCCAAGAGGACTGCCAGAGGGGCTTTGTGTTATTCGGGGCCTCGCCTCAGGACAGGTACCCTTCACGAGCTTGTGAAACCTTAAGTTGTGTTAAGCAAAATGTACTACGAAGTTTGCTCTTTCCGATTATCAGTATATATATATATATATATGTACATATATATATATATATGTATATATATATATATATATTTATTTATATATTATACATATGGTTGGATTAGCAGCCCTTGGGGTAGTATTTTTTGGCAAAAGTATTGGCAATAGCCTTGGAACATATTGTTTCATGTTTTCAGAGCTTGTTTCTGAATTTTGGGCTGGTGAGAAGTTGTTTTTGGCCCAACCTTGTGGGCACCTTGGAGGGTTTTGGCTGGCAGTCGGCTGAGAAAACCGTTGGTGTTTTTCATCAGAGGGGTTAATCACATTGTCACATTCTCACATTGAGGTGGGTACATTTGTAGAAACGCTTTTTTAACGATAGGGCCCCCACCAAAAACGAGAGCTACATAAAAACCTCCTTGAAGACAAGTGATTTTGACCGTAGCTTATATGAATAGGTTTGATTTTTTCGTGCGGCGCCCTTCTCGCGGGAGAAGATCGAAGTTCGCTCGAGGCGAGCACTTCGAGATGAACCGCAAGCTCTGTTTGCTGCAGCTCGAAGGTTTGGATGTCCAGCTGGCACACGCCTCTCAGCTCGGAGGGGCTCGTTGGGTTCAAGACCGGTCAACCCTTTTGAACGGTTCCCTTTGTTTCCTTCCTTTCTGGGCGTCTGAACATTTGATGAGCTCAATTTGCACGAACCAGGTCAGTCATGAGTTGCATTCTTGCGGCCTCAAGAAAAGACATACCCATATATACCAGGACCCTCCGACTACTGCCCAAACGGCAGTAGATAGAAATTTCCCAAAAAACGACCGTAGCTAGAAAAACTACTGTCAATTATTTTATTTGCGGGATGCCCATAGTCCAAGTACTGTCGTTTGAGCGTGTCACCCCGTGTCCCCCCCCTTCTCGCCCCGTGTCGCCCCCTGTCACCCCGTGTCGCCTGCGTGTCACCCCGTGTCGCCTGCTGTGTGTCACCCCGTGTCACCGTGTCATCCCGTGGTCTTGTTTTTCACTGTTTGGGGCAACATGAAACTTTATTTTATTTTCGGAACTACTGCCAAATACCCGGTAGTTCCGAAAATAAAATTTAGACGGTGGTCGGAGGGATTATATACATATATACATATATATATATATATATATGTATGCTACATATATTGTTATATATATATATACATTGTTATAAGTATATGTATATATATATACATTGTTATATATATATGTATATATATCCTGAAGAGTAGCAGACTTCGTCTCATCGCACGGCGCTTTCTCCTCCTGGGCCGTCGGGGGAAGATCCAAGGACGGCCTTTTCCTGCCCATCAGCTTAGCGTCAGAAGAACGTGTGTGAGCCGGCGTCAAACGACCTGATCATTTCGCATGGGGCTGGGATTGGCAGCATCATTCTCATGTGGTTTTCCTAGTTCGTGTGAACCGTCGCCATGATCAGCTGATGTTGCATTCGTATGTAGATGAAGTTCTGTTCCAGTGCGTGGTGCGCCGTTCTCAACTATAGCCGCTGGCTTTCCAAGAAAGCTGCTTGCTTGCGAGATGCGGCATACTCTCTTCGGAAAAAAATGGTGCCTCGCGTGCATGTGTTATCATGGTTCAGACAGTTTGGCTCACTCTACGCTCAGGTCGATGCCAGGTTGCGCCAAAGGACAACCCACGTTGGGCGCGTGATTTAGATGATTTCATCATGTGCTCTCCGACTTCGGCTCAAAGACGCTCCCCACTTTCTGGTTTTCACATGAGATGTTTGGGCAACCCGTAGCCGTATTCAAAGTGCTTCAAGTGAAGCTTTGCAGGATCCCAGCAGGGAGTGGTTGCTCACACCCTCTCACAAACAAACATGTCTTGAGAGGTAGACAGCATGGAAGCTTTCATCTTCATATGTTGCCACTTAAACGGCCAAGCGAGGTCGGTCACAGGAGATATGGGGCATGCTGCCTGCAAGAGCTCAATTGCGTTCTTTGCTTCTTGTTGCATCCCTGGAAGGTGGTAGCAGATCAAACTCGTGCTGGTCATTCTGAAGGTTCACCCCTGCTTAAGGAACCTTTGAAGAAACACATCTGCACAAAGCAGAACGCCTCTGACTTATCCAGAAGCAGGGGCTTGATCAGGGTTCACAGGGAACGCACACCTTTCTGCGCACACCGAATCAATGCGCCTTTGGGTGCTCAAGTGAAGCTTACTTGGCGGGTGTTGAGAGATAAACCTGCACGACTGTCACAAGCCGCGATGGCCAGACGGGATTTGCTCCTTGCGCTGGCAAGCGGTGCTGCGGGCGCCGCGCTCTTCGCGCTGCTGTCCAGGTGGGCGAAGCGTGCCGCTTGGAGATAGAACATGCAGTGCTATATGTTATAGAGCCATGTTTCAGGAATATGTTGTATAGAGGTTTACTTTGCAAAGTATGCGTATATGTGTTGTAGAGGAGTACTGTCGGTATGTTATAGAGGCATGCTTTCAGGCTATATTAATATATTATTTTGTAGCTCTTCTGAAGTCTCCAAGACGAGGTTCAAAGAATCTCATCACCCAACCCTCCCTTCCCAGCTAAGCAATGGACAACATCACTCGAGTTTCGGTTTTGGGTGGGCCTCTATCAGTTTTGCAGGTTGGTGGGTTATTAGTTTGGGTAGGCCGCTTTTGGTTTCTGGTGGGTATAACGTCGACTCATGTGAGCAACTCACACGACTGCCGATGCCTGAGTAATAACCCCGAAGAGTTTTCATCAGCGGTCCCGCTTTAGAGGGGATTCCTTGCTTCCAGTGGCCTTCCTCAGTCATAACTGGGCTCTTATCATTCCCGGGTCAAATTGGTTGTCAATCGGCTGCCTCGCTTACTTGGGGCATTATTGGTAGTCTTTTGTTGTCTTGTGGAGGACATGGGGGAAACCCAAATTCCCGACAAAAACCAGAGGGCCCACACAATTTGACCAGTCCTTTGCGAGCAAACAAGTAGTTTTGGTGGCCTTAAGTCAGGTGCATGGCAGCAAGTCTCTCCTAGGGTTCGGGTGCCATGTCAAAAATTGCCCAAAGCCTGAGAGGGCGTGGAAATTCCTGAGATGGCACATGGTAGTGCCACAAGCCACAGCACGATGCTCCTGCAACTGCATCTGTGCATAATCGGACTCGTGTACGGCCCCAGGCCCCGGTATCACAGGATTTCTTCCACAGCCCGTTTCTTTGGGTTCAAATAGTTGGTGCCACAAATCCCGATGCAAGTGATGTCGACCCAAGGTCCCCCAAGCAGAATTCATACCCATGTGTCGCGTGACAAACGAGCAGCCTGGTGCAACATGGTGCAATGTGATGGAAGGACGTGTTGTTTGTTTTATTTTTGGAGCGACTGCTCGTGAAGGTGAAGGACTCAAAACAACTCCACAGAGTGTGAACCAGAGAGGGCTGGATAGAAGAGCAGGGCGACAAGGGTCCCTCAGGTCCTTGCAGCTGGAAAGAAGGTCCAAGCACCTAGCGCTGGAACCCCATCTGTTTAGGGAAAACTCGAGCCCTTCTTGTCCCTGTTTCCCTTCGGCCGATTTTTGTTGGAGGGCTTTGTTTCTGGGTTCACGCGACCATAGGTGTCCTTTTTGAGTTAGTTTGATTCAAAATAGATGGGTTTCACTGGTTTGGGTGGGCTTTCTTCCATTTTGATTCAAAATAGATGGCACTGGTTTAGGTGGGATTTACCAGGGCCATCTCCATTTACGCAGGGACACCCATCTATTTTTCCTATGCGCGCGACCTTCCGCGCCCGAGGCGCGCCGAGGCCACGGCGCCGCGTGGCTCAAAGCGGAGGCTGGAAGCGGCGATCGCCCGCGGGTGGCGCTGGTGGCGGCGGGGTCCGTGGCGGCGGTGAAGGTGCCGGAGCTGGCGACGCGCCTGGCGGATGAGCTCGGCGCGCAGGTGGGAAGTTAGGCAACAGGTCCTGTGGTTAAAACATGCTTTGTCTCTACCAATACAAATAGTATGTTAGTATGCCGTATGCATAGTACGCTTGTATATTGTGTGCATAATCACTTGTGTGTGTGTGTTTTGTTTGTTTGTTTGTTTGTTTGTTTGTTTGTTTGTTTGTTTGTTTGTTTGTTTGTTTGTTTGTTATGTGTGTGTGTGTGTGTGTGTGTGTGTGTGTGTGTGTGTGTGTGTGTGTGTGTGTGTGTGTGTGTGTGTGTGTGTCTGTGTGTGTGTCTGTGTGTGTGTGTCTGTGTGTGTGTCTGTGTGTGTGTCTGTGTGTGTGTCTGTGTGTGTCTGTGTGTGTGTCTGTG